CTGCGTTTCAGAGACGGGTATTCACCGGTGCGGTAATCAATTTCCGTTATATCGAGCCTAGAAAATTTCTCGAAGACGTCAGAGACACGGTGATGGAGAAGGCACGCGACAATGTGGAAAGACATAACTGTGTGAAGGTCAACATGGTATTCAATGGAAAATTTGTTGCGTTCGAAAAGACCGCTATAAAGAGCATTGTCACGAAAAATCGACAGCTGTTGCGCACTGCAGATCTGGGCGAATGGTACGATACGGTGATGGAGACGATATTGGCAAAATTGGAGGAGTTTCAGGAACGCGACAGCGGGTGGGCGCTGTCGCGTATTCTGAATGTAATGATCAATGTAAATATGTGTAATCCTATGCGCGCGGGATGTTGGATGGAAATGCCGCTACAGGTACAAAAGAAGAAAGCGGTCGTGAACGTACGATCGAGGGATAACGCATGTTTTGCGCGGGCTGTGGTCGCGGGTATGTATCCTACCATGACGAATGCGACGAGATGGAGTCAGTATCCTGATTATCAAACGGTGCTAAGGCTGGATGGAATAACCTTTCCTATGCATCTGCGATAAATCAACAAATTCGAACGGCTAAACGATATATCAGTCAACGTGTTTACCACTAGGGAGGACAAACCGGATGGAGCGATCGTTCCGCTGTTTCTTACCGAACGCAAACGAGATGTTCATGTAAATCTTTTCTATGTATCAAATCCGCGATACGGCTTACAGTTTGGCCATTTTGCATGGATAAGGAATCTTTCGCGATTGGTCGGGAGTCAGGTTATCAAAAAACGAAACAAGAAGTACATTTGTGAGCGGTAAGTATTACGAGAGAGAGAGAGAGATATTACATGTAAAGTGTGCAATAACTACAATATATAAATTACTTTCAGATGTCTGCATTACTTTCACTCCAGTGAAGGATTGTCTAAGCACATGGTGGATTGCGAAAGGATGAATGACTGTGCGATCATTCTTCCGAACGAGGACAACAAGTGGCTCAGCTTTCGTCACTACGATCGAAAAGAGAGACTTCCGTACGTGGTATACGCAGATTTGGAGTGCATCTTGGAGAAGGAGCGAGAGGAGAGCGAGTGTGTATCGCGAAGTGTATTTGCCTATCAACATCATACAGTGTTTAGCGTTGGCTATTATGTGCGTTGTGTGCGGGAGGGGGAGGAGACGACGTACAAATCGTATCGCGGTGAGGACTGCGTGGCGTGGTTCGCGCGGGAATTGAACGATCTTGCGCATCGCGCGAGGCGAACTCTGACCGCGGTTGTGAGTATGATGTCGCTTACGTTAGATGAGATGCGTAGTTTTTGGAACGCGGAACGTTGTCACATATGCAGAGAGCCATTCCAGCCGAGTGATCAGCGCGTTCGCGACCACTGTCACATAACTGGACGTTACAGGGGTCCGGCTCATGTGCGTTGCAATATAAATTTTAACAATTCCTTCGTAATTCCGGTGTTTTTTCACAATCTTTCGGGTTACGATGCGCATTTCATTATCGAAGAGATTGCCAACGGTTTCGAGGGTAAAGTGGAATTGTTACCGTTGACCAAAGAAACGTACATTTCGTTTACGAAACACGTTCAGGGAACGTCGTCGGGAAAGGGACACAATTGTGTGAAGCTGCGATTTGTAGACTCGTGTAAGTTTTTAAGCGCCAGTCTCGCGCAATTGGTGTCGTATCTGAACAAGAACGAACTGCGAATAACACGGTCAGCGTTCTCGAATCTCAACGACGACGATTTCGAGATGCTCACGCGCAAGGGTGTGTTTCCGTATGAGTACGTCGATAGCGTCGATCGGTTACGCGAGACAGAATTACCGCCCCGCGAGGCCTTTTACAGTTCGTTGACTGGCGAGAACGTCAGCGATAACGACTACGAGCACGCGGTCACTGTGTGGCGACGTTTCCGCATCGGTAATCTTGGCGAGTATAGTGACTTATATTTGAAAACGGACGTTTTACTGTTGGCAGATGTGTTTGAGAATTTTCGCGACAAATGCATGCGGAGTTACGATTTGGATCCCGCTCATTATTACACGTTACCAGGGTACACGTGGGATGCGATGCTAAAATACACAGGTGTGCGATTCGAACTGCTGACTGACATTGATATGCTCCTTTTTGTGGAACGCGGTGTACGCGGTGGTCTGAGTCAGTGCTCTCACAGATACGCGCGAGCCAACAATAAGTATCTTCCGTCGCACGATCCGTTAGAAGCATCGACGTATCTTATGTACTATGACGTCAATAATTTGTACGGATGGGCTATGCGTGAATCATTGCCGTACGCGCAGTTTCAATGGGTCGATGACACCAATGCGGAAAGTCTAGATGTAATGGCTGTGACTGCAGATTCCGATATCGGTTACATTCTTGAGGTGGATCTTTCGTATCCGCGCGAACTCCACGAGGCTCACGCGGATCTTCCATTTTGTCCGTTGCGCGCTGCACCTCCAGGCAAGGTCACCGACAAACTATTAGCGACGCTTTACGATAAGTCGCGTTACGTTATACACTATCGCAATTTGCAGCAATGTTTGCGTCATGGGATGCGTTTACTTAAAATTCATCGCGTTTTACGATTTGCACAATCGCCGTGGCTGCGCGGATACATCGAATTGAATACGAGGTTTAGAATCGGTGCGAATAATGAATTCGAGAGAACTATGTATAAGCTTATGAATAACGCGGTGTACGGTAAGACCATGGAAAATGTGCGCGAGCACGTTGACGTGCGTCTTGTGACGTGTTGGGATGGTATGGCGGTATGGCGCAGAAGCGCTAATTGCTAGGCCGAATTTTCACAGTAAAAGCGTGTTTTCCGAAGATCTGATGGCCGTTGAGTTACGAAAAGTCGAAGTGATGCTCAACAAACCGATATACGTTGGCATGGCCATCTTGGAGATAGCGAAAACGCGATTGTACGCGTTTCATTACGAATACATGGTGCCGCTATACCACGGTTTGTGTCGAATATTGTACACGGACACGGACAGTCTGATCTACTTTGTAGCATGCGACGACATTTATAGGGATATGAAACGTTACATCGAAAGATTCGACACGAGCGACTACGCCGAGAACAACGTGTTCGGTATGCCGCGCGCGAATAAGAGCGTTCCGGGTCTGATGAAAGATGAGAATCGTGGCGCGATTATGGTAGAATTCGTAGGGTTGAGAGCGAAGATGTATGCCGCGAGGGTGCTCGGACAGAGTGATACGAAAAGGGTGAAGGGCGTAAAGAGAAACGTAGTCGAGAGAACGATAACGTTCGACGATTTCACGCGAACGTTGCGCGATATGACGGAGCAATCCAGATCGCAATACTGTGTGCGTTCGCGACTGCACGAAGTGTATACTGTGTCTGAAACGAAACTCGCTCTCAGTCCTCACGACGACAAGCGATACGTCGTGCCCGAATCGTACGACACGTTGCCGTGGGGACATTACAGGGTGCCGCAACATGACTAATACTATATGTGAAAACCTTTATTGCATACCAATAAATAAAATACAGTGTTACAATATTCCTGTCTTGTGTATCCACGAGTTGTGTGAAGTATCTATTCCTAGCCACTTTACGTACGCCTCGTTGCCTTTTCTACGTAGAACCTTCTCCACTAGATAAACGTCGGGGTTGGCGACTCGTGACAATTCGTGCTCGTAGAAACCTCCAGCTATTGGTTCTCCGCGATAATCTTTCAGTAGATACGTTACAGGATTTGTCAGCTGTACCTTGGCGATGCGAAACACTTCTGTAGTCCAGTTAGGTGTGTAGCCTTTTTCGAATATCGTTTTGAATTTGTTCACGCGCACCGCATCGTCGATCCTGAATCGTCCTGGAGCGGCTATCTTCATTCGACTGTACACCGTTTTCAAGAGTTTTTCGGCAGCAGCAGGCGTCACGTCTACAGGTCGCATACGGATCGTTCGATGTACGCGACGATTGTATTTCGATAACAGATTCGACAGGTCATTGATCCACACGTACGATCCGTTGAGCGTGAACATCTTCCACATGTCGTTCTTGAGCGTACGATTGAATCGTTCCACCACCGAGGCCTTCATCACGGAATACGTAGAGTAATGGTTGATGCGACATTGTTGCAATACTTCTCGCACGTCGGCGTTGTAGAATTCCTTCCCCTTGTCCGTTTGCAAATTTGTCGGACACCGCTTGCTCTCACGAAACAGTCGGGAGAGGGATGCAGCCACTTCCTTTCCACTTTTGCTTTTGAGTGGCACAGCCCACGCATACTTGCTCAACACATCGATGATTGTCAGTATGTACTTGTGATTCTTATTGAATCTCGAGTACGGTTGCATTTCCACCACATCGGCCTGCCACAAATCGTCGTATCCTCGCACTATGACACGTCGGCGTGGAAAGTTCTTCCGCGCCGGAGCATGCAATTCCTCCACGAGTATTCGTTTTTCGATGCTCATCGTCTTCTTTGTTTGTGGTATATAGTTGTATGCGTTATTTCGGTTGTAAAAGATCGTGAAGTTCCTTTAAGCAAGGATGGTCTCCGTGCTCCTGCTGAGTGGCAAGTTGCAACACTGTTATCAATTCTCTCACAGCGTTTTGCAGAATAAGTAACTGTCCGTTGTGCGAGGCACTTTCTCTTTGCAGATTCGATATTGTATTATCAACATCGACGACGGTCATATCTATGTCGGGCGTTTTTCCTTTTAACTCTTGTATCGTTCTATTGTACGTATCAAACTGTGATTGGATGAATTCGTCTCTTTTTGCAACATCGTTCGAATGCGTTTGTTTCCAGGTTTGTATATTGCTTAGTATAGTTTTTAATTCTCCTAGTTTTGTGTTATGCTGCTGTATTGCCCATCGGTGTCTGCCGTCGCTATCCTCGAGTCGTAGTATCAATGTTTCCACCTCTTTCGTAATTTTGTCACCGAGGGTTCTTTTCACTTCGTGCAATGTTTGTTCTTGCAGTTCCACAAGTTTTCGAGTACTCGCGATTTGTATCACGCTTTGTCGTAGCAGTTCATCCAATAACCGTATACTTTGGTTCACTGTAGACTGGTTGCTCTCTAACGTTGTTTGTATATCTCCGATCCTCTTTTCGAATGTCTTCGCGCTCTCTTCCACTCGATGTGAGAGCGCGCGAAGCGTGGTATCCACGTAATTTTTACTCGTCGCGTCGTTCGCGTGATGAGGTTCGCCTATGCGTTGTAATGTACGTGAGCGTCCGTCGTATTCACCATTAGTGTTTAGCCTTAACGTATTGTCGAGCACGTATTTCCGCAAGGACACGATCGATGAACGCGCTTCGTTCAGAGCGATCGCATCGTCGTCGTGTCTCTCACGAGACATGCCAAATTTGTTAACAGACATGACGCCCTCGAATGCGCGAACCGTACTGCTGACACAATCGGTGAAAACGGATTAATTTATAATGAATCCAGCCTCGCGAAGCTCTTCGAGTATCGATAGAATTTCGTTGTCGTGAGCGGTGTTGCCGGCGAGACGAGATGAATCGAGCAATCGAAGACGATTTGCCAATTCGTTAGGATCGTCCCAGTGAACGTAATCTACTGTGTTATCAGTTACTCGCATGGCTGACGGGACGCGGGTCGCACCCGCGCCTCTTTTCTTATCACCGCGAATGAGCGGATAATCATACTGTACTTGTAACCCTTATTACCCAGTATCGGCATACTTGCGCTGCGACCACGTCTGTGCGCGTTTGTCGCCAGTAGTATACTTTTGTACGTTTGCAAATCGTTATCGGTGTATAAGAGGTCGTTGGGCAGTCGTCGAAAAATCAATTCGTACAGACCAGGAGTACCGACGTATCTCGTTCCATCGATGATCATGGAATCGTCCTTGTTCACGTCGAATCGCTTGTCACCGAGTTT